GAAAGAGGCAATATGGCACAAACCCAGACTCAATGTTGCAAACAAATGTGGCCATAATTGTAAAGAGAAGAAAACATCCAAAAAATAACACACACACTAGTATTTCAACTACTGCTGGTTCAATGCCAAGGAATTGTAATTACATTACAAACAAAACAATGGGAGGCTGTGCTGCTCATGCAGCAGAAGAAAGATGGTTTGCCTGCAGTGGACATGGTGGGAGAGAGAAGCTAGAGTTTGCCCACACTGTGCACACCACCAAGGAGGAGCTGCACTGCCTGTGCAATGGAGGGGAACCAAGTTGCTGGTATGGTAGAGAACAGCCAGGCTGCTCACACAGCTGATAGAGGAAATGACGCTGCACAGCTTGGGGCACAGATGCATAAATGCCAACTGCGGAGGGGTGGGGGCCACAACTCCATGCTGCTGGGCCTTACCTCTGACCAGGCTGCAGCCCTGTGCCCTGCAATCAACACAAATCTGGGGGAGGGGTGGCCTATGGATTGAGAAAAAGAGGGAACGGGAGGGATGAGCACTAGCAGGATATGCAGCCTAGGAGCCTGTGGCTGTGAAAGACCCTACTGTCTGAAGTTGGTCAGCTCTGTATCAATAGGAATAAGAATCGGTTAACTGACAAATATCAAAAAGCAATCCATAATGGTAGATTATCAAAAAAAAGGATTTTTTTTTCTATTGAGACTTTGTGGGAACTGTTAACTAGGTCTGGTACTATTACACACTTCCAAAAGACACAGAATTAAATGTCATTGTAAAATGTAAGTATACAAACACTGAGAAAATGGTAAACTACAAGGACAGGAAATTCAAAGTGTGACCTGAAACGCTTGGTATCCCTCACCCAATCAAACAAGATGTATATGAACATCCAAATGCATTTATACAACTAAAAAAAAATATATGCAGGCCAGTCTTCCAGAATAGTCAGGGGTGTGCATTTTTGTCCTGGGGACAAAAGTTCAACGAATCATTGTGGATAAAGACACTCAACAGGCTCTCCTGATGCTCTTCTTACTCTATAGCATTGCAATGTAATACTTAGATATATAAACAATGAGTACAAATGTTGGCGAGACTAAATGACAGAATGCTGCACTAGTTGTGTTACCTATATTTTCAAAATAGTGTTGGAAAATAGGAGGGAGCAAAAAGGTAACAGAAAAGTTAAAGAGTTGGAAAAATGTGTTAGACCAAGATATGAACAAATGACTCTCCTTAATTTATTAAACAAGACAAGCACTACAGTGAAAATAGAACATTTACAGGGAAGATACTAGTTATTAAGTGATTCTTCAATTTAGGAAAGAAAAACAAATCAATAGCTAGAATCCAAAGACAAATCAAATGAAGTATAGTACAGCGCACACATTTAATGACTGGTGGTTATTAATCAGATTCTCCATCTGCTGGAGCCTTCCACTGAAGACAACATGACTGTCTGGAAAAGACACTTTAGAAAGTGACTCTCCTTAGCTCCAGAGTATGGGTGAAATTAATTACATGGCACAGAAGGTCAGACACAAGGAACTAATGTTACCTCCTGGCTTTAAACTGCAGGAAGGTATGAAAGTTTCATTATTATATGTCATTTCAAATACTTGAAACTCCTACAATTTTGCAATTTAAAAAATACAAGACCACTCAGGATTAGACAGGAATGAAAGAGAGCAGCTTAGATGCCACAAGGGCTCAGAGGCAATGTTTTGTCAGGCAGCTCAGCTTCGGTTTCATCAGGGAGGATGGCAGAGACGCACACAAAGGCCAGGACAAAAGTCAGAGATCACTTCATCCCTCTATTCACAAAAGCCAGCATTTTCTGTACCTGCATGAAATAATGAGAAGCTTCCTGAGTTTCACTTTCAGCTATCACAGAGTAACGAACACGAACAGTTTGAATTTTATTGGTAGATGATAAGAGTCATGAACCAAAAAGATGACAAAAAGCCAGAAGGAAAATATAGAGCACCCGAGTGAGGGACTAGCATAAGAAGGATGGGGGTGTGGAGGGGAACGCAACTAGGTTACAGAAAATACACTGTTAGCCAACTAAGCTGGGGGGAAAGGGTGGTGGCGACTCTGAGAGAGAGAGAAGATGGATGCAGACAAACTCGTACAATGGTCTACAAGGGTGAAGGGGGTAGGTTGGAGGAAGTTTCTCAGTCTATGTAGAGTCTCATCATGGGGGTCCTCTTCGGGTGGTGTGGAACAGTAGCCTATTCCCTAATAAATCCTCCTCTTCCCTCCCACCCATCTGTCCCTCTAACTCACTTCAAAATGAACAATTTATCCATATCCTCAGGAGGACCAAGTCACTTGTTAAATGCTGAAAGTTTACCATGCTGTCACTCAACTTTTAGCAAAGCTACTTCTAAAAACATTTATTTGTCTATACAACAAAATTTGGTTCTTTTAGGTAACACCTGTCTTATGAAACTAATATTATTATTAAATGTAATTTTCAAAATGAGTAATCAAGAAACCAGTAGTTTCACTTTTGTGTCTAGTCAGGTTGCTGTTTTGTGACTAAACAACAACATTCAAGTTGAAGATAGTACAACAAAGAAGTTCTCTCTCGCTCCTCCCCCACTTAAAAAAAAAAACCAGCCGCATTCAGATGGAATTT